AGATATATCATAAGTAAGCGCTATCTAATAGTCGCACAATATTCCTTCGAAATCCTTTCTGCACAACAACTACTGTGGAGTGTAGATAAACACGGACGTTGCCAACCAGGTAACCAGGGGTGACGAAACCCGCATCACCGGGCGCGAACGGTAGTTTCCAATCCCTTTCATTTACTCTAATATCTATGAAATTTGCAAAGAGATCAAGATGGAGTATCATTATTTCCACTCTGAAAGAAGTAGGATGGTGAGTAAGCCTACACTCCTTATATTACTCTAAAACGGCTTTTAATAGCATATACTGAGCTCTATTGTATATATAACCAGTCTTAATAGTTCTAACTCATTTATCTTAGATGAATAAAATTTATTTTTTGTTAATAATAAATATTGGTTGCATTCCATACCTTTATATTGTAGTGATTTTGAGGATGAGATAGCCAGTCTAACTCAGTTCACTCCAGAGATGGTGGTTGAGGCCAGTGTTCGTTGTCTTCAGATTATTATTCCGGAGTTTCAAAGCCCCACCCACCTCCCTGATGCAATGTCTGCTCGCTTTAGAATGTGTACTGGACTAGCTAATGCCTGCCAGGTGAGGGACGGAGGGAGGGAATGCAGGAAAACGGAGGAGAGCAATTTCAAACATTTTTGTAAAATAAGTTTTCACAGAAGAATTTAGCCTCAAAATCCTACAAAAATCCATGAATGAAAACAATAATAGAGAGATACATGTAATAGAAATAAGAGAAGGGACAGAGATAAATAAAACTGTTTTTATTTTTTTATATTTATGTGTAGGAGCTGGGTTTCCAAGCTGAAGTTGGTTATCAAACATTCCTCTATTCGTCTGTCAAAGACTGGAGGAAACTCCTCATGTTCCTTTTAGAGAAACTACCAAAGGAAGCGGCTCAAACTGCAGATGAACCCACTGGAGCTGGTATACTCCTAACCAGGAGCATTGGGGCTGAGATTGGAGCATCATTACGAACACCATGGACCCCGTCCTATTGTAAGAGAGAGTCAGTTAGGAGAGTCAGAAGAAAGTACCCAAAGGTATCATAATGATAATTATAATTGATCTATTTACATGTACATGTATGTGTACATGTACATTTTTAATTCTAGCAGTTGCAGATTGAAATAATTAATTCTATTATGATTATACTCCTATTATATTTATTTCATACATTGCAGAAGTGAAGCTCTATTATGCTCAGGAGATGCCCTATGTTGTTGCCCAGCCAGTCCTAACTAGAGATGTCCTCTCATCACTGCTGGCTAAGAATGACAGTGAGGTAGCTGCTCAACAGGAATGGGAGGCGGAGTGGAATCAGGCTGGACTGGCCTCTCGCCTCTCAGAAAATGTAAGAATAGAAAAAGAGGGAGAGAGAGAGGGAAAGAAGATATTGGGCAATTAAGAGCTTTTTTTTTAAATAATTTTTTTAATAAATGAAAAACGTTATTTGTATTATGTAAAACCTAAAAATGTAAATAAGAAAGAACAAGAGAGAAAGGGGAAAGTTAATGATAGTACACTGAAATGAGCTACATGTAGAATACAATCAAAATTGAGATGTTTCGTAAAACTTTGTTTAATATTTTTATTCTTTGTATTTAATCTTTTAGTGTGATATTTTATTATTTAATCTTTTTAATGTTTCTCTTTATTTCTCCTGTAGGAGTACAAAGCTAAGAAGAAGCAGAAACTAATGAAGAAGCTCTCAGAGCAGCTGAGAGCTCACAATAAAGCCGAGACCAGCTCTGGGGCACTTGGTTTGGGGGCTGATCTCAACCAAATTTTGTCCTCATTTCTTGAGCGGTCCGGGACAGGCCATGGCAAGGGTTCCAGGTTTCAACATGCAGAGAAGCTACAGTTTGCTAAAGTAATTGAATTATGTTTTTGAAGTGATTTATTTGAGGGTGATTTTTGAGCCAATTTTTGCATGGCCTAATGTACAGGGTATTTTTCAGAAAATGGCCTATTTCTTAAAATGGCCATAACTTGAAAAATTGAAGTCGGAATCGACTCAAACTTTCTACATAGCATAAGTACATCAATATGTATCAGAAAATGTAATAAAAATTGGGGGTGATTTTGGGGCCATTTTTCAGAAAAAACCATGGGCTATAGCCCAGGGTATTTTTCAGAAAATGGCCTATTTCTTAAAATGGCCGTAACTTGAAAATATGAAGTCGGAATCAGCTGAAACTTTCTACATAGCATGAGGACATCAATATGTATCAGAAAATGTAATAAAAATTGGGAGTTCATGACTACTATAACTCTCAGAGACGAATGCAT